AGGAATAGTAGCATCATAATAAAATAATTTTTCAACTCCAATTAATTTTGTATTGTAGACCTTTCAATTAGGCTGAAGATGGTCTTTCATAAGACCGAAACATGACGAAATTTGTGGAGATGACTTCGAGCATTCCTTCCTTCCTGTGAAATTATAAAGAGTTTGATTTTTTCGCTCCACCCTAATGCTCATACAGTCAGAGATGACCAGTGGATAAAAATAATAATAATAAGTTTACTCAAAAACGTTTACAAAATATACTTTGGAATAAACAGATAGGTAATTTGAATGAACTAGGAAAAACCTTATGAAGTTAACCTTGTGGTAAGGATAAAAAAAAACAAATATACATAGGTAATTCATTCAATTAGCTAGGGAATGAATATTACTAATGACAAACGAGCTGAATTCAAAGAAGCCACAGCAAATGATCGAGTTTTGTGTGATCTAAAGCAATATTATTTACAGGGCTGGTCAAAAAGAAAATCTGATATTGAAAGTCAGTAAAAAGCATATTATGCTATTCAGGCAGATATTACTGTTGAAGATGATTTGATTTTTTTCAATAGGAGGCTCATTGTTCCAACAAAGCTAAGAAAGTATATACTTCAGTTGCTCCATGAGTCACACTTGGGAATTTCGAAAACTAGAAGTAGGGCTAGACAAGTGGTTTATTGGCCAAACTTATCCTCCGACATAAAAGCCTTCATAAAAAAATGTCCAATTTGTGAAGAATGCACTCCGGCCAGTCAGAAGGAACCATTTATAGTACATGACATACCAGATCTTCCATTTAACAAAATTGGAGTGGATGTTTTAGAATTCGGGGGGGAAAAATTACCTGGTAGTACAAGACTACTTGTCTAAATGGCTGGAATTGCTACCTATGGCCAACAAAACAGCATCCACCATAATTAAAAAACTAAAAGGTGTATTTTCAATTCATGGGAATTCAAAAATGTTTCAAAATTATGGAATTTTCAAATAATAACAAGCTGTCCTCATTATCCTAGAAGTAATGGACAGACAGAGAGCGCTGTCAAGATCGCTGAGAAAATTTTGAAAAAATGCTTAGCTGATGACAAAGAACTTGAAATTGCACTACTTGAATTTAGAAACACCCCAATTGCTGACCTTGGAGCTTCGCCCTCCCAACTATTGTTGATTCGCATGACGGGCACAAAAATCCCCATTCATTCTGAATTACTGAGACCAGAAATCCAAAATAATGTTCATGAAAAAATTCTGATCAAACAAAATAAGTAAAAAGAATATCATGATAGAAGCGCTCGATATTAAAAAAAATTCAACATGAATGAAAGTGTTTTAATACGGAAAGGTAATGCCTGGGAACCAGTGAAAGTTTTGAATAAGTATAATGCACCAAGGTCATATTTAGTTCAGAATGAAGAAGGCAGTCATGAGACGAAATCCCAGTCATTTAAAACACACTCAAAACGAGTATGAAAGTTCTAATAGGAGCGACACATATTATGAATTGGATGATAATTGTAGTAGTAACACTAATAATGCACCGCATAACAGATCAACAACAAGCGTAGTCTGGAATGAAACGAAAACCATTAAGGAGACCTCAGATACTATGCAATATGTACCTTTTGATAATCAAGAAACAATAACTGTAGTTACAGAGGACGCAAAACCCACTAGGGAAGCACCAAATATCAACACAACATGTAAAACATAATAATAATTCTGCTACAACTACTGGAAGTTGGCGTGTTGTGAGCCATCAGACATGATAGTACAATATAAGTGCCCGGCCTGGGTGCCATGAGACGAGGAATGAACATTTAACATTATCATTATCTAATGTAACATGTACTGTTAGAAGCAGATACACAATATTATCATTAAAGTCTCATTACTAATTATTGTAGTATAATTAGTAGTACAACACTAAATAGAGAATGTACAGAGCAAAAAGGAGTTGAAGAAAATATTGAAGAAGTCTAGTGCAGACTGGTTAGAAAATAACAGAATTTGTGAAGAATTTCCAAAAACGGATATTGTAATGAAGTTATAGGAAATATGGAAGAAAATGATCTCAAATCGAAAGATACTAAAAAAGTTGTGAGTGAAGAGAACACAGAAAGTAAGAACTCTGATCCAATGGGCGTGTACACCTTAGTAGAATTTTCAACTCAAACCATGTTTATAATGATCCTTTTATACATAAATAATGATTGACGACATAATTCGATCGGAAAATTAACTGGAATGTTTCATTTTTGGACATAAATAATAGTACTTTCTGAAAACCGACCCTCTCATGACCTAGAAACCTCATCTCGCCATAGTTGAAAGAAAATATCAAACGCCCTACGGAGACTGAGGCAACTGATATATTAATCCTTTCAACTGTGATCTTGTGCTAATTCACTCTGTCAGAAATCATGTATCATTCATCTCTGTCTGGAATAAACTTGTTTCAGTATTAGGGTTTTGACGTCACATCATCGCCTCGTTTTCAGAGGTCTGAAAAATCGGGGATTTCTATAATTTTGAATAAAACGTAGGGAGCTCACAGCAAGAAACGGTTTGCAGTGGTGAGCTAGTTTGGCCAAGTTCTATGGAATTATGTAATGAAAATTTTTTGTGATATAAGCCCATTTTTAAATATATATTCAATTAGGCACGTTAATAGATCCAGAATGAATTTATTTCAATCTATTTGGATTCAATGACTGACATAACATGCTCAAAAATTATTATTTTCACATAAATCCGAATAATGTCATCAGATACAAACAATACCAAGTGTTCAAAACAATAAACTATAAATATTCAGGATATCTCTTGCTTTAAGACATAACACCCATTGTACAATTTAGAAATGAAGCCAGTACAGGAAATGCAGAGAGCATCAGAAAATTCCAGCGAGGTGTTGAAAAAAATACCTATAAATGCTTGGAGAAGGTATCATGCAATGAACAAAAAAAAATGAAGATAAGGAAAATGCAAAGAAGAAAAAAGTAGGTAAGAAAAAGAACGATAATATAATGGCAAAATCAAACACACCTCCCAAAAAATGGACAGAGAAAAATATTGAATGCATTGTCCACTAGACTAGACTCCTCCTAGATCTTTATCCTTACTGGATACAAGAATTTGAAGGAGCACTTGGTTAATTGATATCAATTTTAATCTCAAAATTTTAACTTCACTTCAATATCTGTGTGTGTTTTATTCTTAAATTATTATAAAGTCTTATTGCAGTTTTATATGTCTTTGCCTATATTAGTATGTCATTATCCATATGATTTATTTGTCAATATCAATATTACTGTTAATTAGGGACATAATATTAACATTATCACTATTCATAAACAAGACACACCAAGTCATCTCAACAAATTTATTAACTGAATAATCAGTGTCTGAACATGTGAACTGCTAGTCCAGCAACCTGGGTCCAGTTCTTCTCTGCTGATGATGGACTATTGATAGTCCCAAACATGTTCAGACACTGATTATTCAGTTAATAAATTTGTGGAGATGACTTGGTGTGTTTTGTTGTTGAATCTATTCACTCCACTTTGAGATACTATGGACTTTTACCATAGATTATCCAATGCTATTGGCGCAACCTGGGTCCAGTTCTTCTCTGCTGATGATGGACTATTGATAGTCCAAAACATGTTCAGACAAATATTATTCAGTTAATAAATTTGTGGAGATGACTTGGTGTGTCTTGTTTATGAATTTATTCACTCCACTTTGAGATACCATGGAGTTTTACCATAGATTATCACTATTATTTCATGTTATACTTATTTTGTGTGCTGCTTTGTTGACTTGTGCTATATGTCTTGTAAGTTCCAAAGGATTAATAAATTGATTGATTGAATGATACACACACAAAATGAAATTAAAAATGATGAAGTACCTCTTGAAGCACTGACTGAAAATAAGATACTGAAACAAAAATGTGGTATTTGTGTAGAAAAACTGGAGAGTGATAAGGAATGTGAAAATGAAAAAATGTAGGCTGTGATTTGTGTCCTTGATGGTATCATTTAGGGTGTAGGAAGTTAATGGGGCTTCCCTATGGTGATATATTCAAGTTAAATTTTAACTGTGATTTTTGTACTGTTTCTGATTAGTTGTGCCTATATCATTATTTCACCAAGTTCACATTTTTGTTTATAACCAATGCTGAATGATTGTATGTTTCTGGATTTAGATCTGCATGTTTTTTTATGAATTAAATTTATTGTTGACTTATATTTCAAATCATCTTATGTGCCACTGTTGAAACCATATATATATCCTGGTCATAATGAATATACATCAATATCATACAAACTCAATTGAATGAGAGCCTGGACAAAATCAACAAATCACAAGTTTTCTGACTACTAGCTAGCACTTGGTGGATGGTGGACTACTGGCATATTATGCTGTCCAACATCTAGGGAAAATGAACTCATTTTATTCTTTAATTGCTGAAAAATCCTTTGTGCAAATGAATTAGATTTCTCTTGATATATTGCATAGGATTCTTGTCATAGTATTGTTTAGTCAAGTTTGAAATTTACTTATCCCTATAAATAATGTCTACCTACTTACTAATTAACCCTAAATATGATAATAATTCTATAATTTGTCCTGGTATACATTACATACATAGGTAAAGGTACTATTTGAATTCCATATGGATTGAATTCTACAAGACTTCATGAACAAGAGAAATACTGATGCATCTCATCAGGAACTATATAGTCAGTGATGTCTTCCTTCTTTTCCAAAATTACATTCTTGAAATAATGTAATGAAACTATAAAATCATAAATAAACATTGTATAACATAAATGGCCTGGCATACATAGGTAGGTAGGTACTATTTGAATTCCATATTGATTGAATTCTGCCAGACTTCATGAACTAGAGAAATACTGATGTATCAAGTATCTCATCTAGGAACTAGTGTAAGAAATTAATGTCTTCCTTCTTTTCCTAAACTACTTAATACTTACTTGCACTTTGTACACACAGTTCGCATATATGGAGGATCTGGTGGGATAGAACACAAGTCTGCCAAAACATTGGATTCACTCAACATTCTTGAAAATTCTATAAAGATTTTACTGCAAATACTTAGTTCAGAGAGCAGAGTGGCATAGTACTATTTAGTAACTTTGTTTAAATTAGTAGTTAGCACCCAAGGATCATTAAGTTAATAATCATTGGTTAGCACCATGGTTAATAGTTGAGTGCTGAACGTTGAACGTTGAACTGTTGAGTTTTATATTTTTTAATTTTAACGTTGAAACTAGATGTTTATGAAACTTTGTTGAAACTGAGATATCGGTGTGAAACTGGCAGACCAGGCCAGCGGCCAAAATTTCCGAAGTTACCCGAAGGACCAGTGGCGTACCAGATATTTTTTTCAGGGTGTGAACTTGGCAGACCATATTAGCGTCTGCGGACAGGCGGAAGTAATGACTCCGTGGTGGGAGAACGTTATAGTGGTCTACCTAGTTAGGTTAGCATAGGGTCCCTTGATGAAAATTGACGTTAAAGTCATCTTAACAGGGTACGGACAGATCATAGCTGCATTCTTTTTTAATGATCTAGAGATCTAGAGACTTTAGTTTTGTCTACTGGCATCACTGACATTGCTGTCACGTCACATCCATGGGCGCTACAGAAAATCATTCAAAATTTCAATAATAGGTATGTACAGGGTGTTTACTTGTTGAAAATCATATGGCGAACGAGTTTTGTAATTATGATCCGATTCTATTCAAAATTGAAAGATATCTGGGGTTTTCCGGGGTTGGAGATAATGATTGTTTCGTCAAACTTGGAAAATTCAATATGACCAATCCAATATACAGGCTGATTCACGGTGGATGGTACATTAGACGTTTCTGGAAAACGCAACTCAGGATCATTCTGAAAAGTTGGTGCCTTGAATAATTAGTTGTGTTCTATCGACCTGAAATATTCTCAGCGCTGCCACCGTGAATCAGCCCGTATAGCGAAAGAAATTTCTAATTATGATCTGATTCTATTTAAGATTGGTATCTGGGAGTTATCGGGGTCGAACTTTATGATTTTTTGTCAAAATTGAGAAATTCAAGATATCGGATCCAATATGGCGAACGAATTTTGTAATTATGATCCGATTCTATTCAAAAATCAAAATTGGAGGAGATTATAAGTAATTCGTGAAAATTGGGATTTTCATGATGGCGGATCCATTATGGTGGACGAGTTTTGTAATGAAGATTAGATTCTATTCAAAATTGGTATCTGGGGGTTTTCGGGGTAGGAGATAATGATCGTTTCGTCAAAATTGGAAAATTCAAGATGGCGGATTCGATATGGCGAAAGACATTAGTTTATATGATTATTACTCTACCACAAATAGAAAATATGTAGGATGCAAGAGTGAAAATAACGTGACTATAAGTTATACTCCGTATACCTACATCTTTGTTACTTTTATCAATCAATTGTTCGAAAATGACTTTTAATTTGAGGGGGACGGAAAAATCATATGTATAACATGGGAGTAAAGTATATTCTATTCTTTATTTTCCTGCATATTTTACGTATTACTTTTTATCAGCCTACTTTTCGTCCTAGACAAAGTTTTATACATGATATACGTGATATATATTAGTCACTCCATAAATTCTTCACCGAGCTGGATTTCCAAAAATATATTGAGCACACATGATAAGTACAGTAGTTTCGGTTCCCATCATTTCACAATCATAAGGCTCAGCTCATTAAGCTGATAGATAAACTTCTGCTCAGCTTGAAATCAGAATTCATTTAGTCAATTCAGTCAACCCTAGTATACAGTCTAAGAACAGTCTCTCTTAGTGAAATATATTAAGCTTTCAGTACAATTTATATGTTCCCTACCTCGCAAAGATTATGCTGGAGTAGTAAACTCTAAATCTAGAGGACTGTTCATCTATATCTTGGTATAGTTGAATCGGGAATTCCATATGGAAATTACGTATGATACGCCAGTGACCTCAATATAACCTAAAAAACAACAAATGTCTAAAATCTAGTGTTTTTCCCTAGAATAGAATAAGGATGGAACTATATAACTGTTTCACAAACACTTTAGAGTGAGAGGAGACGAGGATCTGTCCGTACCCTGTTAGGATGACTTTAACGTCAATTTCCATCAAGGGACCCTAGTGGGCAGTAGATGCGACTGGCGTTATGCGGCGCCGACTGAATGACTTCATCATACTTCACTAGCGTCTGTGGACAGGTGCAAGTAATAACTCCGTGGTAGGGGAACGTTACTTAACTTGTGTCGAGTCTAATATAAGGAAGGAATTTTTTTTTAACAATCAATCGACCTAGATGAACCTTTTTTTCTTGAAGAAGGAGAATTTTTCTTGAGGAAGGAAAATATTGTTTCTGCATAAAAATTGAGAAGGCGGTACATATACTAAAAATTGGAACAGAGAAGATTAGCATGGCACCTGCGCAAGGATGACACGCAAAATCGTGAAGCGTTCCACATTTTTAGTATATGTACTCGCTTCGGCGGTACATATACTATTTATGAGTATATCTGTACTTGTTTCGTTGACCTGTGTAAAACTTAATGTTTATTAACACCAAATAAAATATTCTATTCTATTCTAACCTAACCTAACCGAACCTCACCTCTGGCCTAAACATAGAAAACTCCTAAATGAACCTATTTTCCATAGAGAATATTTTTTATAAATCACTTGAGAACAAGAAAAAAATAAAAAAAAAGATGAGCCTCGCACGGATTCGAACCCCGGCCCGCCGGCTTGGCATGCCGATGCTCTGCTAACTGAGCCAACCAGTTGCTTACGAGACGAAGTATGATGAAGTCATTCAGTCGGCGCCGCATAACGCCAGTCGCATCTACGCCCACTGTAACGTTCTCCCACCACGGAGTTATTACTTGCGCAGACGCTAATATCATACTTCGTCTCGTAAGCAACTGGTTGGCTCAGTAAGCAGAGCATCGGCATGCCAAGCCGGTGGGCCGTTCGAATCCGTGCGAGGTTCATCTTTTTTTTATTTTTTTCTTGTTCTCAAGTGATTTCTAAAAAATATTCTCTATGGGAAATAGGTTCATTTAGGGGTTTTCTATGTTTAGGCCAGAGGTGAGGTTCGGTTAGGTTAGGTTAGAATAGAATAGAATATTTTATTTGGTGTTAATAAACATTAAGTTTTACACAGGTCAACGAAACAAGTACAGATATACTCATAAAATAGATAGGTTAGGTTTTCTCATTTTTTATGCAGGCACAATATTTTCCTTCCTCAAGAAAAATTCTCCTTCTAGAATATTTTATTTGGAGTTAATAAACATCAAGTTTTACACAGGTCAACGAAACAAGTACAGATATACTCATAAAATAGATAGGTTAGGTTTTCTCATTTTTTATGCAGAAACAATATTTTCCTTCCTCAAGAAAAATTCTCCTTCTTCAAGAAAAAAGGTTCATCTAGGTCGATTGATTCTTAAAAAATAATTCCTTCCTTATATTAGACTCGACACAAGTTAACTAACTACCACGGAGTTATTACTTGCGCAGGCGCAGACGCTAGTGGCAGACCATTGGCAGCCGAATTTCCAAAGATCTCGAATGAACAGCGGCTGACCTCGAAAATATTTTTCTGTCTGTAAAATAATGCAATAAGATATTATGATTCCTATTCACTAAACAATTATTACAGTTATTGTGGAATAAACATATACTGGGTGTCCCATTTTAATCTTTATTTGGAAATTTCTCGAAATGTATGCATCTGACAAAAAAAATTGCCGAATAAAAGTTGTATGGTTTGGAGGGGGACGTCTGGTTGTAAAACAAGTTTCACCCCCTGGCCCCCAGGGGGGATGGGAAATAGAGGTAACATTGAAATCTTTAATGGAAACCCCTATTCTTCATTGCAGATTCTGGAAGAGCATTAAAAACTATGAAGCTTTCATTCGGGAACTTCTTTTTTATTTCCTCACATACGATTTTAGAGGTTACATTTTTTGTCAAATCAATCATAGCCGTAGATGGACAATGGAAATAGGGTTTAAACACCCACTTCAATTTAAAGTGATATACACTTCTAGCAGAACAACTGTTATATAAATGAGAAGAATGCATGCAACAACATTTCAATATTAGAAAATATCCACATATGGATAGACTTATAGCTATAATTCCCCATTGTATGTGAAACAGTGATAAGTATAAAACATGATGATATTAATATTAAATTGAAGGTAGGTATTCTCAATATACAGGAAGTAACATGAGTACTTTCAAGGAGAATATTCCTGAGACAATTTCAAGAAATAAAGTATATGAACTTGTGTCCAGCAATTCTTATTTCCGAGATACAGGGTGTTGAAATACAGAGAACAAATAATTTTTCGATAAACATTTCATTGGAACAAAGGTTGTTTATTGTGACGAGACCGACCACATACTTGATTTTGTAAAGTACTCAGCAACTACTCCTAGAATGGGTCCTAATAGACGGAAGAGAGGAAACTTCATTTCCAGCAGGTGTTCATAACCTGTGGTACCACGAGTATATTTGATGGCAAACGCTTTATTTATTGTTTTGATTTTCCATCTTTTCCTGCATTCACTTTTCACTGTTGAATTTTGGATTTGGTCCGTACCGAAAACGCCATTCGATAATTTATCACTTGTAGTGTGTTGGGGTTCAACATTTTATTATTGTTTCATATTTGTTATGTTACTTCTTCGAAGTTACCTCTGCATCAGAGCAGTGCGTTTCGTCGATTTTTCAATGTTTCTATAGAAATAAAATAAATTAATCACTGTCTGTCGACATAAAGAAATATGTCATATAAAAAACCTAGTTTTATATTAGGTATTTGTATAGTTGTATATTCGCACGAATTAACCCACTAAGCAAAGTAATATCTCAACAATATTGCAGCAAATATTTCAATGTTATGTGTAATGTTACATCAGATATTGTCGCTATCTTACTGCAAGGTGGCAGCAACTACTGAAACGGACGTTCAGCAATATTATTAATGTAATGTTCGCAAATGAATCATTCCAGCAGAGTTATTGTAACATTGTGTATGAAGTAAAGTAACATTTCATACTCAATGAACGAATGTAATCTTATTGTTATATTATGTTAAGGTAACTGGCAACATAAAATGAAAAGTAAAGGAAAATTACATATTGTTACGACCCTGGCAATCGATCCCAGCTACCTGCGGAAAGTATAAACAAGCCATATTTCTTGGAATAGTAATTAGGTGATTCGACGGCTATTGAGATGACTCGAGAAG